GAGGGTCAGAGGGAGAAGCAGACTCCCTGCTGACAGCAGGGAGCCCGATGCGGGACTCGATCCCAGGACTCCAGGATGATGACCTGAGCCGAAGGCAGTCACCCAACCAACTGAGCCACCCAGGCGCCCTCCTCTTTTTTCATCTTATTTTTCCTTCCCTTCTCCTATGTTCACCTGTTATATTTCTTAAATTCCACATATGAGTAAAATCATATGGTATTTGTCTTTCTCTTGACTTATTTCACTTAGCATAATACCATCTAGTTCCATCCACAGCATTGCAAAGGGCAGGATTTCATTCTTTTTGATGGCTGAGTAATATTCCATTGTATATATCTACCACATCTTCTTTGCCATTCATCTGTCTATGGACATCTGAGTTCTTTCCATATTTTGGCTCTTGTGAACATTGTTGCTATGAACATTGGGGTTCATGTGCCCCTTGGAATCACTATGTTCATATCCTTTGGATAAATACCTAGTAGTTCAATTGCTGGGTCATAGGGTAGCTCTATTTTCAACTTTTTGAAGAACCTCCATACTGTTTTCTGGAGTGGCTGTACCAGCTTGCATTCCCACCAGCAGTGTAAGAGGGTTCCCCTTTCTCTGCATCCTCACCAACATCTGTTGTTTCTTGAGTTGTTAATTTTAAGCATTCTGACTGCTGTGATGTGGTATCTCATTGTGGTTTTGATTTTTATTTTTTCATGTGTCTGTTGGCCATTTAGATGTCTTTTTTGGAGACCTCACTATTCGTGTCTTCTACCCATTTCTTGACTGGATTTTTGGGGGTTTTTTGTGTGTGTCAAGTTTGATAAGTTCTTTATAGATTTTGGATACTAGCCCTTTATCTGATAAGATATTTGCAAATATCTTCTCCCATCTCTTAGGTTGCTTTTTAGTTTTATTGACCATTTCCTTTGCTGTACAGAAGGTTTTTATCTTGATCAAGTCCCAATAATTCATTTTTGCTTTTGTTTCCCTTTCCTTTGAAGACATGTCTAACAAAAGTTTGTTGCAGCCAAGGTTAAAGAAGTTGCTGCCTCTGTTCTCCTCTAGGATTTTGATGGATTCCTGTCTCACATTTAGGTCTTTCATCCATTTTGAGTTTATTTTTATGTATAGTATAAGAATACTTATACTACGCGCACGTGAACCACAGCCCCGCGGACAGAAACCCAGAGCGACGGTCATGCGCACGCAAACTGCAGCCTCCGAAACGGAAACCCGGAGCGCCGGGGTTGCGCCAGTGAACTGCAACCCCAGGGGTGGAAACACCGAGTGGCAGAGTCGCGTGCGTGCAAACTGGGAGCGGCTGCATGTGGTTGTCCAATTTTCCCAACACCATTTGTTGAAGAGACTTAGACAGTCTTTCTAATCATCATATTTAATAGCTGTATGATATTCCATCAAGCTAAATGCACCAAAATATATTTATAGCTAGCATTAGCTTTTAAGAAAAATAGTTGACACAACACTCTAGAGTCCCTCCATCCTATGGGCAGTTACATTTCTGCTCGTATATAGGTAATATTCCATTGCTACAACACATATAATCTAACAGACAGAAAATGATGTTCCTGATAATGGCAATAAATAGCATATTTAGGGAATTAAGAAGCTACACTGACATCTCTACCAGTTCTTTCTTTACCAGAACTCACTTTTTTCCTTTTTTTTCATTTCTGTTATATTCTATAGTGGTGTTGAGCTCTAGCATCCCTGCTATACTTTGGGGATGTGTTGCTAATTTGTTATTTTCCTGAGACCTTTCAAATAGGAGCAGTGAACAAAGCTATTAAGTATTTTCTGAACTGGCTTTTCAGGGGTTGAATGAGCTATCCAGGCTGGTTTCTTATGTCTTCCAGTGTGGTTACTTACCAGTACCTACTACTTAAGCAGAAATGACACGCTGATTTGACATTACCATTTTTTTCCAGCTGTGCTCACAGGCCTATCTTAGGGAGGAACATTGGGAGTGGGGTGAGGAAATCTCTGCCCCTTCCCCTAATGTCGAGATGGAAAAGTTCCTGCCGGATGATATGCTCACTGCTTTCCTTTCTCCACTATAGCTAATACACTTCCAAAGGTGATAGGTTAAGAGAGAGAAAGAGAGATGGAGGAGGGAGACAGAAGCAAGCAAACCCTGGGAGTTACATTCTGGCAGGTAGTTTATTCTTCTATCCCTTAGTCAAGGAATGCTTTCTAGGGAGGCAGAATTTTGGGAGCTACTTCAGTAAAAGAAGTAGCACCTAGGGTATTCTGGAAATAGAGGGCATCTTTTTCCTGGTCAGAAATTGAATATGAATGAATACAGGACATCTTGAGCATGTCAGCCAAAGAGAACAGTAGCCATTAGTTATATATATGTCAACACAGGCACAGACTATTAATTTGCAAATTGTTGAAAGACACTTAGTATTTAATGGCTGAATTGGAGGGTGAGAAGTGATCACAGAAGTGAGATTTTGTAAAGGGCATTGAAGCCAGGAATGAGGATTTTCCTGGGGTATGCCGAGATGGATGATTACATTGGAAGCTGTGTTAAGAGGAGACAAAGTGGAGGTGTAAACAGTTGTTAGTCAGTCAGTACAATGTTCCTCATTAGGGCCTCAACACTTAAAGTGTTACAAAAATCACATTTAGCTTTTAGATGAAAGTAAGTGATAATTTAGTCTCACCAAGAACATTTTCATGTGCTAATGATTTCTAATGAGCACAGTGGCCATTAAAAGTTTACACCAGGGGCACCTGGGTGGCTCAGATGGTTAAGTGTCTGCCTTCGGCTCAGGTCATGATCCCAGGGTCCTGGGATCGAGCCCCACATCGGGCTCCCTGCTAAGTGGGGGGCCTGCTTCTCCCCTTCCCTCTGCTTCTCCCCCTGCTCATATTCTCTCTCTCTCTCTGTATCTCTCTATCTCGAATGAATAAATAAAAAAAAAAAGTTTACACCAATTGGTTCAGAATGGAAGATGGTGTTTTTTTTTCTTTTTTATTTCTTTTTTACCCTGACTTACAGTGTGCCCTGAGTCTGGTTGTATTATCTTAGTACTCTCTTATCAGATCAAGAATCTCTTTCATTGAATCTACCCTTTCATCAGTGGCTAGCTGTATTAATTCGTCTGTTTATTCATGAATGTATCTTGAGCACTTACTCTTTTAAAAACACCATGCTTGGGCACTTGTGGACTTGTTGTCCAAGCTCATCCAAATGATATCTGCTAGTCAGCTATCTTAGTTGGTTAAGACATTCTCTTTAAGGAATGGTTTTGCTTTGTTAATTCAAAGTTTTCCTGACTTGGCCTCTGTTTCCAAATTGTTGTCAATGTTATTAATACATTTTGGATGGGTCCTATAAGAAATGGGGACTTTTGAGATGTTAATGGATCTAGCTAAATCAATGACTACTAAAATGAGTAAAAATGTGCTTAATCAGCTTCTGAGAAAAGGCCCTATGACTTTTGGGATCCTTGTCATAGAGAATGGAGGGGAAAGTTCTATACTCTGGATTCTGTACTCTGAAGAACTTTGCTTGTGATCCAGCTTTCCTAATAACTCACTGGTAGAGTGACTTCCTTCTTTCAAACTCAATTTCCTCATATGAAAAATAGAAATGATTATTGCCTGTCTATTTCATAAAGTAGGAATGAACCTTCTTAGTGCTTAATAAATGGTAAAGCCCTGATGGAGTCAGGAACATCCTCATCCTGGACCTTTCCTTTGTGTGCAGGGCTACCTGAAGCAATGCCGGAAGAGAAGGGACATGTTCAGTGATGAGCAACTGAAGATAATCTTTGGGAACATTGAAGACATCTACAGGTTTCAGATGGGCTTCGTGAGAGACCTGGAGAAACAGTACAACAATGATGACCCCCACCTCAGTGAGATAGGACCCTGCTTCCTGGAGCACGTAAGCATCTTCCTCCTTTGTAAGGGTTTTGAGAGGGGATAGGAAGAAATGGAAGGAGTGTCTGAACTGTCTGGTCCTGCTCAGCTTCCTTGTCCTGTGGTGGGGTATAGATTCCTATAACCCTGATGTAACCCCCTTGCCAGGGTATGAGGATTTAGGAAGGATACTGTGATTTGGCCTAGGACTTTTTCTTTACCATTCCCTTCCCTTTTTTCGCTCCTTCAAGAAAGCTACCAGTAGGATTTTCTTCATTTTCTTTTTTCTGTACCTGTTGGGTTCAGTTTCTATGGGACTAACTGTTTTGGAAGAAACTCTGCACATATTCACTGCATGGAAAATCCAGGAATCTGAGAAATGTAGTCAGCATGAAAGTAGGCCCCTTCAAGACATATAGAGGAGAGCAACAAGGTAGAAGAAGTGACAAATATAGGAAAAGGGGCCATGTGACTTAGAGGAATGAGCACTAGGAAACAGGAAAGCAAGGATTTGAGTCCTGTGTCTGTAATGACTGTCTAGGTAACTTTGGGTAAGTCCCTTACCTTCTTTGGGCTTCCTCATCTGGAATATAAGAAGGTTTCATTGTACACTTTTGTGGTTCTCTAATTTTTTTTTTTTTGATTCATTCACAGGTGACTTAGTTTTTCTGCCAATTCTTCTCCTTTGTATAAAGTATTTATTTTTAAAGACGTAATATGTGCACATGATACAAAATTCAAATGACACAGAAAAGTGTGCAACTAGAAGTAAATCTTTTTGCAAATTCCCCATATGTTTGTTTGGGGACTATCCCTAATACTACTCTTATATTCAGTGATTTCCTAGAAGGATTCACACGAATCAGCATATAGTCATACTTGTGGTTATGATTTGTTATAGCTAAAGGATTCAAAGCAAAATCGGCAGAAGGAAAAGGCACATGGCACAAAGTCTGGAGGAAACTAGGGACAAGCTTCCAAGACACCTCTGCCAGTGGAGTCACATAGGATACATTCTCAATTCCCCTTGCAATAAGTTGTGACAACACATGTGAAATGTTTTCTACCAGAGAAACTCATTAGGGAATCAGTACCCAAGATTTTTATGGGGGACTGGTCATGTAGGCATGCTCTGCCTAGAATGTACCAAAGTTCCAGACTCCCAGATGGGAAGCAGGTATTCAGCATAAGCTACATTGTGTATACAAACTGTGTAGGCACAGTGAGCCGCTCATGTCAGGGAATGATGAGAACCCTCTGGAGATCCATGTTCCAAGATACCAGCCAAAAACCAACCTTCCAAGCAGGTCTTTCTAAGAATAGCAGTCTCAGGCCTGATAAGTTAACTTTTTCTGCACAGTATTTAAAATGGTTCAGCCATTTCAGAAAGCACCTGGGCAGTATTTACATGGGTATGACATAGTGTTGACATAGTGTATGACAACATGTATATGACATAGTGTTTCCATATTTATCCCAGGGAAATTCTTACAGAGGTTCATGAGGGAGCATTTGCAAGGCTGTTAATTGCATGGTGGTGTTGTGTGTGGTGGAGTGCAATTAGAAGCAACTTAGGTATTTACCACCAGGGGATGAATAACAAACATATAGAAGATGCTTACTGTGGGGTATTGTGTTGCAAGGAGCAATAGACTATTGTATGTAGTTATAGTAACAAACAACAGACTAGATGTATGTAACTTATAGCAATATGTATAGATATCATAAACACAGTTTTGATTGGGAAAGTAGAATATAGAATAGTGGTTCTTTGTTGGAGCCTGCCCTGTGCATTGTAGTGTGTTTAACAGCATTCCTGTTCTCTACCCACTGAATGCCAGTAGTACCCCAACACCACTGAGTTGTGACAACCAAAAATGTCTCCAGACATTGTCAAGTGTCCCCTGGGGGACAAAAATTACCACTGATCTATTGAAATGATCACATGATTTTACCCTTTAATCTATTAAAGTGGTGAATTTGGATTGAGTAATTTTTATATGTTAAATGAACATTGTATTGCTGGAATAAAGCCTACCTAATCATGGTATATTATCATTTATTTTACATGTTAGTTTGCCTTTTTAAAAAATATTGGATTGTTTATGCTTTTATTATTCAGTTCTATAATGTCATTTTTATCAGCTTTGTTTAGACGTAATTTACATACACTAAGATTCACCAATTTTTAGTGTATAATTTGATGAATTTTAACAAATGTATATAGTTGTATAACTACCATATAATCAAGATATAGAACATTTCTACCACTTCATTAAGTTTTCTTATTCTCCCTTGGTAGCCAATCCCTGTTCCCACTCCTGGCCCTTGCTAAACTGTGATCTGCTTTCTGTCACCATAATTTTACTTTTTCTACAGTGTCATATAAATGGAATCATACAGGGGTAGTCTTTGTGTTTAGCTTCTTTTACTTAACAGAATGTCTTTGATGTCATCCTGTTGTTCTATGTATCAGTAGTTGGTTCTTTTTTATTAGTAATATTCCATTGTATGAATATACCACCCATTCATACACTAGTGCATTTCAGGATATCTGGGTTGTTTACTAGGTTGCTTCCATCTGAGGGATTACTAGGTTTCATGTTATGTGTTTATTTTTGTTTGTTTGTTTTTTAACCATTCTAATAGATATGTAGTAGCATTTCCTTGTGATTTTAATTTGCATTTCCCTAATGGCTAATGATGTTAAGCGTTTTTTCATGTACTTATTTGCTATCTGTATAAAATCTTTGGTGAAAGGTCTGTTCATGTCTTTTCCACACTTCTAAGTAGGTTGTTTTCTTATTGTTCGGTTTTGAGAGATTTTTAATTTATTGTTCATAAGTTGTTGGTCAGATATGTGAATCAGAAAGATTTTCTCCGAGTTTGTGGCTTAGCCTTTCATTTTCTTAACAGTATCTTTGAAAAGCATAAAATTTTAATTTTGTTGAAATTCAGTGTATCACTGTTTTCTTTAATGATTCATGTTTTTTGAGTCTTATTTAGGAAAACTTTGCCTAACCCAAGGTCACAAAGATTTTCTCCTGTTTTCTTATTAGAAGTTGTGTAGTTTTGTTTATTACATATAGGTCTATGATCTTTTTTCAGGTTATTTTTATATACAGTGCAAAATAAGGGTCACAGTTAATTTGTTTCCAAATGGATATCTAGTTTTGTTCCAGCATGGCTTATTGAAAATCTTAACTCCTACATTAAATTACTTGGACACATTGGTCAAAAAGCAATCATATATGTGGGGGTTTATTTCTAGGGAAATTATTATATTCCAGTGACCTATGTGAGTATTCATATACAAATACCATACTGTTATTTCTTATTGCTATTTTTAATTGAGATATAATTGACGTATAATGTATTAGTTTTAGGTGTATGACATAATAATTTGATATTTTTATATATTGCAAAATGATCACAAAATGATCACAATAAGTCTAGCTAAGATCTATCACCATTCATAGGTTAAAAATATTCTCACACCATCTTGCTTAATGTAGCTTCATAGCCAGTCTTGAAAGCAGGTGGTATAAGTGCTCCAAATTAATTCTTCTTCAAAGCAATTTTGGCTATTACAGGTGATTTGTATCCTATAGAAATTTATCTCATTACAAGGAGTAATTTTTTCTCTTCTTTTTTTTTTTTTTTTTAAGTAGGCTCCACATCGTGGAGCCTGATGTGGGGCTTGAACACATGAGCCTGAGATCAAGACCTGAGCTACATCAAGAGTCGGACTCTTAACCGACTGAGCCACCCAGTCGCCCCTTTCTCTTCTCTTTATTGTAACGAGAGATGGATATATGAGATGATGGATGTTATCCTATTATATAATCATTTCACAACATATATATTCAAACTATCATGCTGTACACCTTAAATTTATACAGTGATGTATGTCCATTTTTTCTCAGTAAAACTGGGGGAAAATCAGCTTGCTAAAGTTCTACCAAAAAACAAACAAGCAAAAAAACACTGCAAGCATTTTGATTAGGATAGAATTAAATCTGTATATCAATTTTGGGAAAATTTGTAGACTTTCAGCTCTATGAACAAATATCTATCTATCTATGTTTCTATAATTTCTTCTAGCATTGTTGCTAGTTTTCATGGTATAAATCTTGACCTTATTTTTAAAAATTGATTTCTAGGTGTTTTTTGTGTTTTTTTTTTTTTGCTGCTACTGTAAGAGTATTTTTATTTCAATTTCCTATAGTTTGTTGCTATGATAGATAAATACAATTGATAAACACAAGATAAATACAACTGATTTTTGTGTATTGATATTGAATCCTGACATAATACTGAATTTAATAATTGGTTATAATATTTTATATCGATTCCTTAGGATTTTATACACTTACAATTATATCGTTTCATTTCTGAACAAAGACAGTTTATTTCTTCATTTTATTTTTGTTTTTTTAAAAAAATTTTTTACAAATAGTTGACACGCAATGCTACATTAGTTTTTATTTCCTCATATCCAATCTATATGCCTTCTCTTTCCTTTTCTTATGTTATTGCACTGGTGAAATGGTAAAAACAGGCATCTTTTGTTCTGTACTTGATCTTAGGGACAAGCATTCAATATTTCACCATTGAGAATGATTTTAGCTTTAGGTTTTTCATGGTTGGCCTTTATCATATTGGGGGCATTTCTCTCTAATCCTAGTTTCCTGGTGGTTTTTATTATATATATGTTTTTTTCAAATACTCATGTATCTACTGAAATGACCATATGATTTTTCATTTCATTATTTTAATGTAGTGAAATGGATTGGGATAAATCGCACTTAATCATGGTGTATCATGCTTTTAATATACTATTTTGCTTTTTTAAAAAATTTGGTTGTTTGTCCTAAAAAGGTGAGAGACAAACACTGCATAATGAGAATAGGCTTTAGAGAATTCAGTAACTCCATCAAGTGTAATAAAATTTGCATTAAAGGGATCCCAGAAGAAGAAAGAGAAGTGGCAGGGGGTCAGAAAATATATTTGAGGAAGTAATAG